TCTTGGAGTTCATAAACTGGAGCCCCGCGCTGGGCTCTGAGCTGTCAGCACAGAGCCTGACTCAGGGCTTAAACTCGTGAACTGCAAGATCATGGCCTGAGCCCAAGTCAGCTGCTCAGCCGACTGAGCCACCCAGGCGCCCCAATAATAACTTTAATAAAATCATCTTTCCACACAATTCTTTATGATTCACAATCAGGGGTGGGGAATTACAGGTGACTCCATTCAGAGTCATCTGTAATTCTCAAACGTACTATCCAGTGTTGTTTTTATTAAGTGGACCATCCTGGGACTGTACAATCTTTTGTTAAATTCTTTGTCACAGCACTAAAATCTCCATTTGCTGGTCTGTGACTGGCATTTTGGAGAACAGGCAAAACAATGAAGTATGAGTTGGTTCATCCAAGGTCAAGAAATAGAACCATATTCCCAACGTCCTCAATATACCTCAAGTTCAGGATCTTATTGTTATCCTAGTCAAATTCAAACTTTGAATTCTTATGAATGTATCTTTTGATGTTCTTTGAATATCTTAAGATGTAAAAACATCAAGTTATAAATCTGCAAAATATAAAATCAATTACTAGGGTTTTTTTCTTAACGTTTGTGTCGGCATAAGTTCATAATAGTGAAGTGTTTAATTCAATAAACATTAATTGAAGCTTACTATTTACAAAACCCCATCAGGCTCTACCAGACATCTGAGTGTGACAAAGGTTTGTCCTCAATGAGCTGACAAAACAAATATACAAATAACTATACTAGAAAACAGGGTAGAAGCCCCATCAAGGAAAACACCACAGACCTTTAGGGAAGGGAGACTACAATCTGTTTTGGGTCACAGACAACAGTGTGAACCAAGCCAAGGGAGGAAACAGAGGTAAGGAACAGGTTTAGGAAACAACGAAACAGGAGAGCCCAGTGCAACAGGAGGAAATAGGACTCCAAAGACAGATAAGAAAGAGCCACACTGTTGCAAAGGGCTTGAAGTCAGGCTGAGTAGTTGTAATAAAGCCACTGTGTGTGGCTACACTGCAAACAAGACGGTGTCTGTTGGGGAGATAAAAGTAACTAATGAAATAAGCTATGTTGAAAGCATAGGAACAAAACGTGTTGCTAAAGCCTGCTATGATCCGGGAAAGGGAGTAAGAAGGATTTGGGCCAGGTGGTTCCCCAGTGACACTGGAAACGGAAAGCGGATGTACTTGGAATCAGCTGGGCTTGGTAGATCTGGTATTCAGGGCAAAGAAGATGGATGGAAGGGGGCAGTCAAAGACCAGGCCACAGTTCTGAATCCGGATGACCAGGAGCACGGAAGCGCCCTAAGGAAAATAAGGAAGTCAAGGAGAAGAACCGGACTTTCGGTGTTGTTTAGTTCAGGGGAAGAAAGGTGAAAATGAGATCCTAGTCTGGACACGTTACACTTAAGGAATGAGTTGCAAGCATCTGGCACACAGTTAGAAACATCACTAGAACACGGAAGAGGGCACCAGCATGAGGCTGACATCTCGGTTCTCTCCACAAAAGAGACGCGTCAAGGATGAGTGGAACTACAAGACAAAAGATGAAAGATGAAGAGACGGTCTTGGAGAATTACGACATTTAAAGAACGGGAAAGGAGCGCCTGGCTGACTCAGTTCTCTGAACATCCGACTTCGGCTCAGGTCACGATCTCGTGGTTTGTGAGTTCGAGCCCCACGTCGGGCTCTGTGTTGACAGCTCAGATTCCGTGTCTCCCTTTCTCTCCGCCCCTCCCCCACTCACGCTCTGCCTCTGTGTCTCTCAAAAATAAATAAACAACAAAAAAAATTTTTTTTAAAATAAAGAACGGGGAAAAGAAAAGAACCTAATAAAAGTGACTACTGGTCTGAGGTAAGGCACAAAGCAAAATGTCTTAAGAGCTACAAGGTCTGGTAAGAATTTCAAACACTGAAAACTCAAGACCCCAGAAAGATTAAGTACCCAGAAAAATAAAAACCCACTGGGATGTGTCATGAAGAAATGTTATGATTTTTAAGAAGCTGGGTGGCAAGGATTTGGGAAAGGGAGATGGCAACGGAGAGAAGTCACTGATCTTAGCAGCGTTTTAAAAGATAGAGAAATCCACTATCCTATCTGCACGGCAAAGAACTACAGTCAAATTCTGATGTAAATCCAACAGGAGGCTGGTAAACCCACTGGAGGAGAGAGGGAGAAAAAACAATCCTGTATTTACAGCATGTGATGGTTTCCGTGGCGTGAATACTGCCACCATGGCTGATTTCAAGCTGCCAAAAGCTGCCGGCACAGGGCGGCTCCAACACACCACTGCAAGCCACCTGTTCTGTCCACCCTGCAGCCGAGCCACTCCGGGGCGGTTTTCCCCTCAACTCAACTCCACTGACACATAATCATTCTGTGCGAGACCCGTGCAGCAATTCGCAGAAGTCCACCCCGCTCCTGTTACGTTTAGCTTTCTCAACTACATTGCAAGGAAAGGGGTTAGATGTTGAAAGCCAAAGGGTGTCCAGGCATGGCTACCTATGTAAGTCACTGAAAAAAACCAAGAATCGCTAAGCGCCAAAAAAGCCTTCCTAAACCATTTTATGATTGTTTCCTTTGTTAATGTCCATTCTCCATCTAAACCTGAAATGCCTTAGAAAACTCCATCCAAGATTTGTGTATTCCCGGCAACCAACACTGGCTCTTGGGACAGTTCTGGGCTCAATGCAAGGATTAAATAACAAAGTGTCAGTAGAGCAAACGAAACAAGAACCAAGCTCCTGCCTGAGTCCCAGTGCCACTGAGAGGCAGCAGAGACGTGGTTTAAACTAAGTCAAGACACCTGGGCTCCAACCCAGCTCTGCCGCTTGCTAATGGGGTGCCGGTCCCCCTCTCAGGTGCAGTTCCAAATGAAAAACGAACAGTAATACTGTGCACACAGGGCTGACCTTAGCTTGAATACGAGCACGTTCAGGCAACGCCTAGCAGGAGCAGGTGGTTGATCGCCTGCTTGGCAAAGTTCAGAAGGCCACCCTAGTCTGGACATTGGACCCTGCTCAAGTACAGCGCCAGGAGTACCCAGGAGGCCCGCTTCTGTGTGGGACTGCGGCTGGTCAGCTCCCTACGATTCTTCAGAGTCTGTGCCCACTGATCTGCGGACATCGCCCCAGCCGCCAATTCCTTTCACAGTCCTGTCCTAGAGTCTCAGGCCCCACCACAACACGGAGACCAGAAAGTCCACCTAAACACAGTTTCAGAAGGAGCAAGAAATGTTGCAACAAACTAGAGGGGATCAAGCTACCAATCAGGCTCCTACTCGTGTCCACGTGAGGGCATGCCGCATCTTACCTCAACAGGAAGTTCATCAACAAACCAAAACAACGGGCCAACTGATACTGTAAACAAACTTCGTGGGAAGAACCCAGTTTCTAATATTCAAAACTGCCCCCCACCCGCATCTTTCCAAATACACCTGTCTTCACGGTACTCCACGTGATCTTCTTTTAGGTTACGTGTCGCATGCAACTTTGTCTAGACATCTGAAGCAGAACTGCTATCAAAATAGTAAATATATATAGGGATGGGGCCCCGGGGGGCTCAGTTGGTTAAGCCTCGGACTCCTGGCTCAGGTCGGGATCTCAGGGTTCGTGGGCTCCAGCCCTGTGTCCAGCTCTGTGCTGACAGCCAGAGCCGGCCTGGGGTTCTCTCTCTCCACCCCCCGCCTTTGCCCCTCCCCTGCGCTCTCTCTCATTCTCTCAAAATAAATAAGTAAACTTAAAAAAAAAAAAAAAAAATATATATATATATATATATATATATATATATATATATGTGTGTGTGTGTGTATATATATATATATATAGGTAAGCACAAAGTTTATTTTCCAGTAATTACTCCTTGAAATAGACGGCAATAATATTCTCAGAATTTAATTTTTCCTAATTAATTGCCGCCATGGTAGTTCAATACAGGTGGGAAAAACTTACTTTCATGCTCACTGATCGGGTTTCACGCTGACATCTGCCCTCCTCCACTTCCACTTTAAGTTTTCTCTACACGACGTGCCCGACGCCACAGACGCCATCGCCCGCAAGGCCACACACACTGTGAAGCAAAGACCCCTGCTTGAAAGGTTCTTGGGGCGCCCGGGTGGCTCAGTCGGTTGAGCGTCCGACTCGGGTCACGATCTTGTGGTTTGAGTTCGAGCCCCGGCCTGTGCTGACAGCTCGCTGGAGCCTGGAGCCTGTTTCTGATTCTGTGTCTCCTCTCTGCCCCTCCTGTTCATACTCTGTCTCTCTCTGTCTCAAAAATAAATAAACTTAAAAAAAAAAAAAAGAAAGGCTGTTAATTTTGACCTCGCTACCTGTTAACTTTCTCCTAAGTATCGACGAATTAAACGCTTCCGGAAACCCAGCCATGTAGCCACCCCTGCCGCTCTCCTCTGGGCTCCTCCCCTCGGCCCCCGACCCCCGCCACCTCCCGCAGCTCCTCGGGAAACCGTGGGTGCTCCTCCGACGGCCCCAGGGAAGCACCGCCCCTTCCTCCCGGCTCCGGAGGCTCAGTCCCGACCGCACCTCCAGGCGGAACGGCAGTCCCAAGCGAGCGGAGAGCCACAGTCGTTTCCCGCGGCGCGAGGCAGGTGCGGGGACGGCCGGTCACCGCCCGCCGGCCGCCCTCGGGCAGGCGGGGTCAGAGGAGACACCCAGGCCGACGGGCCCGGTTGTGTGGGTGCCGGGCCACCCCGCCGCCAGCGCCGCAGGGACGCTTACGCCGCATCGCGGCGGCCTCTCGGTGCGGGGGGTCCAGCGGCCTCCGGCGCAGCCGGGTCGGCGCCGATGGGCGCCCTCCAGGGGCACAGCTAGGCCGGGGCGTCTCCTCGGGGCGCAGCGCGGTCTCACGCCGGGCCGGACGACGGAGAGACCAGGCGGGGTGCGAGTCCTCTGCGATGCCGCCCGGCCCGGTCCCGGCCCTCGTGGGGGGCGCGTTCCCGAACCCCACGAAGTCCCCGCCGCACTCACCTCTCGCAGGTGTCCGCCGAGTCCACCTCCTCCTCCTCCGCCGCCATAGCCGTCGTCGTCGCCGCGCGAGCGCCGGACCGCGCCTCCCAGCCGGCTGACTGGCCGACTGAGACACCCGGCGCTGCCGCCGCCCTTAAGGCCACCGCCGCCCGCGCATGCGTCGCCCTCCCACTCACACGACGCGGCCGCGCGCGAGCGCGCGCCCGGCCATCCCCGCCTACACCCACCAGCTGCGCATGCGTCCCCCGGTCCGGTGTGACCCCGGGATGGGCGCTGGGCGGGGCTGTCAACAGAAGCGCTGGTGAGGCTCGCCTGGCAGCGTTTGGTAGTAACCGCTTTCAGTAATGACTTTGTGAATGCCTCAAACGCTGGTATTAACTGTCCGTGCTGGGCACTGGGCAGGCATTCTGTCAGTGCCTTGGGACTGAGGCGCGTCACCTTCCCTGGAAGAGCCAAGATAGTATCCGATAGATGCTGCAAAGGCGCATGGAACTGCAGAAATGGAGGGGACTCTGGCCTTCCGCCAGCCCTTCCCTCCAGGTGGGTAGGTAAGGGGAAAGGGTGACTCGGGACGCTCCGTCGGGAATCACTGCCGTGCAGGGACCGGTCTAGGCCCTGCCAGAACCAGCAACTCCCGCTTAGCCCCGCGCTCTGGACACACTGGAGGGGTGTGGAGTCAGTAGAGCTCTTGAGGGGGAATCACTAACGTGGATGTAAACATGCCTGAGCTGTTTTCAAGCCTGTAGCCATCAGATACTGTCTGGGATTGTGATTACACCTGTCCGTATTGCAGGGGCCGAGGGCAGGCTGCCCCAAATGTGCTACTTTGGCGTGTTGATTATTTCAAATACGTTACTTAAGAGACCACCTGTGTAGGAAGGACACTCAGACCCTCCTCTGTCCCCTGAAAACAGGAAATCAATCGCCACGTGAAAGGTACCCTCTTTGTATCAGGAGATAAGGAGCCATCCTTATCACCAGAAATGTAGAGCCAAGAAGGCTTTATAAACAACCCTTGCTACTTTTTACTAATTTACTACCCCAGCCCACATTCTGTTTAGAATTCCTTACTAATTGAAGCTTCCAAAGTTAGGTTTTCTATATCCTGTCAATTCTTCGCAGATCTGTTGTCTCCATCTGGAAAGTATAAAACCTTCCTGCTTTGGTCATTTCTTTAGGCCTCAATTTCATGATTTGGCCTCTGTAATAAAATGTTGGATTTTTTTTCTCCTGCCAATCTGTCTCATGTAAATTTAATTCTTAGTCCAGTTGGAAGACCTGTAGGTAGAGAAGAATTTTTCATCCATCCTTATCTACTGTGTGCCTGCTGTGTGTCCACTCTGTTTTAGGAGCTGAGAAACAATGCATTGAAAATGTCTGAGAGCAGATCTCCCAACGTTCCAGGACAACCTGGTGCCCTATTTCCAAATCCACTTCCTTTTGGTGACCCACTAACCACTTAACCTTGAGCAAGCATGTTTATGTTAGATCACCAGCCCCTGCTTTGTCCAATCAGATAGTCAGGTGTGACATTTTTAAGGCAAGTACGTGGCCTGTTCTGAATGCTATTCCCCAGCTGTGGCATCTGAAAAACTAAATGCAGCCGTTATATCACCACGACTAAATGTACCATACAGGTTGATGACTGGTGCCCCACTGGTTCCAAGGTGGGCTTTAATTTCTAGCCCACCCCACCCCCTAGCAGGGATTTTTTTTTTTTTTTCTCTTTAGGGAAAATGCTATCACAGGAACCTGGATCTTTCTCCAAAGTCTGCCAAGCAGGCACTAGCAAACCAGAGTGAGGCTGAGGCATGGAGGGTTTTCCGAGGGCCCCAATGGCCTTGCTGACTTATACATGTTTATAAAGTGCTGTAATTAAACAAAGTGAGAAAGTGAGTATGGTAGGGAGATAATAAGAAGGACATAGGATAGTAAGGGAAATGGTGCCTGGGTCAAGGGAAGGGCCTGGACATCAGCTGTTTTGACCTTAAGGGAAAAAAAAATCACATGATTAGGGCTTCTTAGACTCTAACCTGCATGCAAACTTCCTGGGGGATATTTTTTAATTGCAGATTCCAATTCTGTAGGTCTGGTATATGGCCTGATTATTAATTGAGATTCTCTCTCTTTTTTTTTTAATGTTTATTTATTTTTGAGAGAGAGAGCGCAAGTGGGGGAGGAACAGAGAGAGGGAGACACAGAATCTGAAGCAGGCTGGAGGCTCTGAGCTGTAAGCACAGAGTCTGATGCAGGGCTTGAACTCACAAGCTGTGAGATCATCACCTGAGCTGAAGTCAGAAGCTTAACCGACTGAGCCACCCAGGCACCCCGCGATTCTGTATTTCTAATCAGCTCCCAGTGATGCCTCTGGTCTTGCTATATGGGTCAGCACACGGCCCTTTAAATAACAAAGCTCTAGAGCAGCCACTAGAACTTTCTGCAGTGATGGAAACAGTCTAAATCTTACTGTCCAGTAAAGTAGCCATGAGGCACGTGTAGCTATAGAGCATTTAAAATTTGGTTTGTGTGACTGAGTTTTTTACTTTAACTTAAACTTAAAAACCCACATGTAGCCAATGGCTACCATGTTGGACAGCAAGGTCTAGATTGTATACTCCTTATCTATGAAAATGAGAGTTTGAAACTTGATGATTTTCTATATTCCTTCTGGTGTCCTATGGTCCCAAGTTGTTTTCAAGGTGTGTATAGAGGGAGGGGATGGATGAGGGAGCAAGATGTTACAGATGTCAAAATTTGGTATGAAGGACGAGGGTTCAAGAGCTCTACCATGGTGGGGTGGCGGAAGCGGGCCATGGTCACCTAAGGGAGGGATTCTAGAACTCAGCGGTAGAATTGCCCTCCAGAGACAAGAGACTCTGAGTAGCCAATGAATGTCAGTTGAACTCTTCAAAAGCAGATAAAAGACCTTCTTTAGCAAGATACAAATGCCAGGCCATAAAGGAAAAGAGCAAGTAATATAACCACATCAAAATTTAAAGTTTCTGTGTGGGGAAAAAAAAAAAGACACGCAATGAAACGCAATGCAAAAAGTTGAAACAGACCTGGGTTTAATGTCTTCAATATATAAAGAAAAGTTAAATAATAAAAAAATATAAAATAGATTTTTAAAATCCTTCTCAAAAAACTCTCAAGTCATGAACAGACACAAGATGCCTATACTCATCTGGGATCAAGAGAATGGAAATTCAAACCATGATGACATAACTAAAAAAGGTTCATGGTACTAAATATTGGCAAGAACCTGGGTCGATGGGGAATACTTCCACCCAGTCCATGGGAGTGCCAATTGATACAGCCGTTTGGAAAACAGTTTGGAAGTGACCTGTTTAAAAAATGTAGAATGAATATACCTTCTGACCAAGCAATTTAATTTCTGGAAGCCCAGCCCCTCTCATGTGTGTATGGAGATACATAGAAGGATGTTTCAGTATTTTAATAGTAAGACGAAGGAGAAGAAGAAGAAGAAAAGAAAGAGAAGAAAAAGAAAACGAAATAAGAATGCCCATGATTAAATAAATTCTGATACCCCCATAATATGAAATGCCTTGACAGCAATTAATAAAAATGAGGTAAATCTGTATTCACTAATTTGGAAAGCTCTCCAGAACATACCGATATGTAAAAAAAGCAAAATCCTTGAAATATGAGCCAAAAGTTGGTTCTTTGAGATTAATAAAATTGATAAACTCCTGGCTAACTAATCAAGAAAAAAAAACAAAAATAGAAATGAAGGCTACAGATTTGGGAAAGAGGATGTGACTACAGATCCTACCAACATTAGGATGATAATGAGGCGGTATTACAAACAGCTTTATGCCAATGAATTTGACAACTTAGATAAAATAGACAAGATTTTATCTTAAGTTAGAGAACATAACAACAAAAACTGAAAGGATAAAATAAGAAACTTGAATTAAATTAAATTAAATTAAATTAAATTAAATTAAATTAAATTAAATTAAAATAATGGTGTCAAAACCCTTTAAGAAAAAAAGAAACTTGAACAACTGAATATTTATTTTTAAAAACGTGAATAGGGGTCCCTGGGTGGCTCAGTCAGTTGAGCGTCCGACTTCGGCTCAGGTCATGATCTCGCAGTTCATGAGTTCGAGCCCCACGTTGCACTTTGTGCTGGCAGCTGAGAGGCTGGAGCCTGCTTCAGATTCTGTGTCTCCCTCTCTCTCTCTGCCCTTTCCCCGCTCATACTCTGCCTCTGTCTCTCAAAAATGAATAAACGTTAAAAAAAATTTTTTTAATGTGGATATATAATTCTTAAAAACTTCCTACATAGAAACATTTTTTTTTTTTTGAAGAATTAAACAATCTCCCCCAAGGGTGGGGTAAGATGGTCATAAATTCTTTACTCCTTCTCACACTGAAAGTTGGAGGCTATTTTCTCTCCCCTTCAGTCTGAGCTGAGATTTGTCGGGACCAATAAAATGTTTCAGAAATGATGCTGTAATTTCCGAGTCTGGGACTTAAGAGATCTGTGGCTTCAGTGTTTACCAATTCGTGTTAATTCCTCTCGAAAGTCCGACTACCCCGTGACCACCACGCTGTGAGGAAACTCTGCTGACCATGCGGCACCAGACTTCTTAAGACTTCTGGCCCAGCCTCTGCTACTGAATGCCCCCAAGTGAATGACACCAACCGACAACACGTGGATTAAAATATCTGCCCAGACGAGCTTAAGTTCCTGACAGAGAACGGTAAAAACAAAATAATGGTTGTTTCAAGCCACTATATTTTGAGGTCGTTTGTTATATAGCAATAGGCAATTGAATCACCTCTGCATCCCACACGGATAACGCTTTACCTCACCAATGTGTGACGCTGCTATTTCATAGAGGAAATTAAGTAGTTGGTTTATTGAGTTCAAGACTTTTTTCACCGTTTTTTTCACTTTTTGTTTTGAGGTAATTGCAGGTTTACATGCAGTGGAAAGAATATGGCGCGATCCCATGCATCCTTTACAAACAGTTTTCCCTTGCGGTAACATGATGCAAAACTGTAGTTCAACGTCACAACCAGGATATTAACACTGACGTAAATAAGACATAGGACATTTCCATCATCACAAG